AAAGCCACGAAGAACCCTATCAAGCCGGAGTTTAAAGAACTTAACGTTTATAAGACTGACACAGGCCAGGGAAAACACAGACAGCATTTGTATATTTAAACCTATTCTTTAGAAATGCCTAAAATTCAAATTCAGTATAGTGTAAGTAGATTTCTTAGACTAGTGATTTAATTTCACTTTGCCAATTCATAAGACTCTATATTATATAATGCTGAGACCAAATTCCTCCTGACCAAGAAGCCTATTGGGGTGTGTGTATGTGCAGATGTGTAAATATCTAAATGCCTACAGTAGAAACACACTCATGTGTCTGCACTCATTTATGATTTTACAGTGGAACTTAGACTAGACTGACAAATATTTTTTAAATGACACCAGTGATCATTTGAAACAGGTTATATTTTAAGCTAACAGCCTCCATTTAAATACCTACAATCTCTTTCCTCTCCATAAGCCGGAACTCAGCGGCCCTCCTCGGCACCACCACCCCCACCAGACTTCCCTGTTTGAAATGTGCAATGAAGGATGAACAGGTGTAAAATACATACTTGCTGCTGCTTTGTACTCATGAGAATTCTAGTCACCAAAGGATATTCTAAAGAGAAAAGGGGAAAGTTTCCCCACCCCTTGGTGCCTTTCTCCCCAAGGGAGAGGCTATAAGCAGGAAAAAATTTTATTTCTACCAAACATAATACAAATATATTATTCTCAATAATATGTGCCCATCTGCTCTAACTCCTCCACATACATTTCTTTCTTCCCTCCTGTAAAAAGGAGCATTAGCAAAATTTTAGGCAGAAAAATTTCTTTTGCCTATGCAAAGGCATCATATATTCTTTTAATAAAATCTCTGTGTCTATTTAACTTGTTCAGCCTATACACAGCTTCATTAGGAACAGTTGTTGTACACACAGCCTGTGTAACACTATTTATAAATAAGGGCCTATGTACCAAGGGATATTATTAAACAATTACAAAAAATATGTGATGATGGGAGTTTTGTATTAACTACTGTATATGTATTATAAGTGTAGTGAAGCAAAGGGCATGAAGAAAACTTAAAAATTCTTCTATTGACTTGCAATGTGGTGATACATATTAATGTCTCTGAGTCAATCATTTAGATAACAGATGCACAGTGAGTAGTTAAAATTACTAGATCTGTCTCTCAAATAAGAATGATTCTTAACATGTTAGGTTTCTGGCAACTGGCCATTTATCATATGTTCTAAATAGGTAACCTCAAAACACAATTCTAACTGAAACAAAAATGCTTAGCATGGGAGTCCAGCACTATGGACAGTTCACTCTAGCTGCATTAGATCATGCATATTACCATGTTCTCTCAATTATCATCATATGAAAATAGAACTCCAGAAGCAGTCCCAGGCAAAACAGTTAAGCAGTCATCTTAAGTAATCCTGTTGTGGCTCTCCTCCCCATTTCCCTAGCCCTGCCACATCTATCTGCTATGTGTCACTCTTGGGGCAAAGCTGGGCAATCATGATTCAAACTTCTCCTGTCCCTCTTCCTTCTTGACCTAGCAAAATTTACATGTGCTATGACCTAGTCTCTCAGGGCCTAATCTCTGAAGCTAGCTAGGTAACAGCTATATTTTCAACAATCAGTGGTTTTTACTGCATTCATTCACTCAACAAATGTTAACTAAGCATGTACTAGGTGCCAAGTATTTTTCCAGATGTCAGAGATAAAGTGATGAACAAAAGTCAAAATCCATCCTTCAATCTAGTCGGTTACAGAGAAATACATAAGTTAAAGTCTGGTGTGACCAACAGTGGAAAATGCTAAGAAGAAAAATAAAACAGGAGAGGGGGATAAAGAGTTCTGGGGAGCAGGGTGCAAGGGAGTCATACCAGGATTACAAAGTGTCCATTCAAATGCAGCAAACATCTGTATCTGAACATTTCTAAGCTCTTAAAAATATTTCCCCCAAATTGTCTAAAATATAAAAATAAAGCTCTCAAGTAGAATGCAGGTGATAATTTATACCTGTTTTTTTTTTTTAAATCTAAATTCAAAGTGTTCCATCTGCCATAAATAAACAAATGAAGCCCTAGCTGTATGAGGTTGAAGAGATGTTAGAAAACTACAGAAACACGCTCTTTTCTAAAATGACTCTCTACTCATGAAAACAATACTTACAAGAAGATGGCTAAAAACATAACTTTACTTGTTGAGGAGAAAGTATGACACTTTTTAAGACTATTGGGATAGGACAAATCCAAGCCATTTCTAACAGAAAAAAAAATAGTATGTAGCCTGAGCTGCTGAGAAAAGGACAGTTGCAGAGATGGTAAATGACAAGATACAATTCCAAAACCACAACAGCTTCCCATTTTATTAATACTCAAGAAGTAAACTTTGGATGACATTTAATAAGTCAGACACAAATGAAAACATCCAATTTGTATGTATATTATACATAAACATATACTTTATATGGATTTAATAATCTTAATCTAAGTATGAGAAAAACAATTGGTTCTTTGGCCTCGAAAATAAATCCAGTGTTGGCATTTACTATTTCTAATCTGGAGTGTTTTATACCCGACAGGAAGAACTGTGGCCATTCAAGGCCAGCGTAGTCAACAGACCTCATGCTAGGGTACAAACAGAGTTCTTAAGCAATAATCTATATAATAAAATAAGTTTACTTTTGAATTGCAGTACATTTTCTTCAATAAATAAAAATATACTTGGATTATAAAGCAGCCTTATTTTGCAAATGTATTTCAGGAAAATAGCTCTAGCAGTCTTTGAAATACCACACCTTAAAAAAGGCAACAAAGCAACAGGATTTAGATTAAAAATAGTATATTGCAAAATAGTTCAACATATTATTTCTAAGCACAAAGAGAGCTCCATTCTGAAGGATACTTTTAATCATATAAAGGAAACTGTTCCAATATTTCTGTGGTAACATAAAGTCTAAATATCTACAATAAAAGATAAATCTTTTACACATATACAACACAAACGTCAGTACATATCCACAACATAAGCGCTTTCATTATTACATCACTCAATTATAAAGCTTAGATTTGTTAACATGTGCACAGGAAAGAAAGTAAAAACTTGATACAGTTCAGTAGCTTTATAACAGGCTGAACTCTGCAACAATTGCAAACACAGCACCAGTTTTATGAATAATAAAACAAGAAAGTCAAGAAATCATAAACACTTAATGAATTACTACACTCTTCCCAACACATTTTATATTGCTCTCTTATCTTAAACACATTTTTTAAAAATGTTTTTCATATCCCAGGAGGAAATGATGACAAATTCTCCATAAAGATGAAAGTGCATCGTGTTTTAAAAGTGCTTCTCGTGTGTGTGTATGTGTATTTTACAGATAAGTCCAATAAGAAGGCTAAATCATTATGTGCAAAAAAAATTCTAATTATGACTTGAATTCATAAACGTTAATCATGGGTTTCTGGAGTCATCTGGATGAGGCAGTCAAGCAGCACAGAATTAAAATCTGAGATTACACACACAGTGTGGACGAAAGAGCGCTGAGCCACAAGGCAGGAGGCCAAGCTCTGTGCTCAGCTCTGTCAACCAGCTAGCTAAGTGGCCTCTGTTCTAGAACAACTGCCTTTGGTTTGCATTTCCTTAGTTGGCAACGGGCAAGAGGCTGAGCTGGAGGGCCGCTAAGGCCCCATCCAACCCTGAAATTCTAACATAGCTTTACATTCAGCATCCCTGAAAGGGCAAATAATTTCCAGAAAAATATGAAAACACTCTAGTCATCTACCTATGATTCTCTTCTTGTACTTATTAATAATAAAGCACAGAAAGGGATTAAAAACTCCAAAAATACTCACAGGAAAATGTTGTGTGAATGCCATGTATTAATCAAAGCTAGTGAAAACCTTCACAATTAACGGGCACTACGAAAAATCCAGTATCATGTGCAAAACTGAAACAGCAAGCAAAGCAATACATCAGTTGGTAACCTAATGGTGCATTTTTTTCCCTAAATACCAGAATTTTTGTGGGTATAAAGCTTTAAAAATTTATTTTTAAATTATTTTAAGAGAATCACAGAAATGTAATATTTCTGTTATGAATATCGGGCTGGAAGCCATACTTCTAGATTTTTAAAGGATTCTCTCTGAAATGTTATACACCCACTCCTCACTTATCAACATGGTTAGGTTCCAAAGACCAGGTTATTTTGCAAAAATTGCATTATGTGAGAGTCCAGGCTGCACCCTGGACTTCAGCGGGTGTTCCCCCACTCCCCGTTGGGTGCCCCCAGCACGCCCTTCCCCACCACCGGGAGCCCACAGGGGTTGAGGGTTGTTGGTGGTGGTTGGAGGTCTCTGGCAGCCTTCAGGGAAGCAGGGGCCCACCATCACCTGTCTGCGCTCCAGGTGTCAGCGGGGACCACTGCGCCTGGCATCTGCACCTTCCCGCTCCACCGGCCCCCGAGACAGCCTTTGGTGACAGGCAGCTTCCAGGCCTGCAGGCAGGTGAGGTCCGACCACCTGGGCCCAGTGGAGGCTGCAAAGGTGGCAGAGAAGCCTCTTTGGAAGAAGAGACTTCCGAGCCCCCTGCCCGATTCCTGCAGCCCGACTGCCCCTGCTCCCTGCTGGCTGTCCGCTCATCCCATGCTGGCCACTGTCCTGGCCGGCTGGTTTCACACCGGGTTAACACTCTCACTCCCTCTTACAAACCTCTCCCTCCTCCTCCTCTAGCCCTGGCTCCTCGTTAATGCACAAAATAGTGGGATAACTGATGTCTTTACTATTGTCATAGATGCAATATATCAGATAACCGAGATAGTTGATAAGTGAGGAACAGGTTTAATGGTTTTTGTGAAGAGAATTCTATTTTCGACATTTAAATAATGGCTAGATAAAGTGAACCACTTACCATGGACTCTATCCTATCCACTGTATTTTATTTATAGACTTATATAATATACTAGTTCTAGCCTGTGTGTGTGTGTACACACACACGTATATACATACACCACATAGTATACTAATCTACTAGAGCTCGTTTAATTCAACAATTCTCATCCACAAGCTTTGACCCATTAATGCCCCGGTAGGTTACCCTGCTTGGTCTAACTAAGACTCCGTGGCTTGGCTTACATGTAAAGTAGCGCTTGCCACCCACTGCGCCATCGTTCTTTCCCTTGGCACTTCGGAGCTCAAGTCCAAGCCAGACACCGGAGGCGAAGTCTGTGGGGCCCACATACCTAACAGTGCCCATCTCGTTAGAACTTGTCAGGAGGACCTGGGAGCCCTCTCGCAGCTTCACACTCCCTTCAATACTCGTAGTAGTGCTGCTCCAACTACGATGTAAAGCAGCTTTTGATCTGTTTAGAAGGGAAAAAGTAAGAGAAATTCTTAGGTGTGAAAGGCACATAATACAGTTTTTCATATCCACTTCCACTGCCAGATTCAGAATTCATTGTTTTAATTCACGAAAGAAAACACTTTATGATCATAACTTGATTTAAAAAAAAAAATTCTAAACAGCAGCATACTTTGATTTGACATTTAAAGTCTTTCTCTTGACTGTTTTAATACACTGCCGTAGTCTGGATTTAAGATTTTACTTGCAATTTCTGAATAAACATATGCTTTCATTAAATAACAACCAGAAAAATATCCATACCCATTCAACTGTTATCAATACAATCAAATAAAGCAAAATTACCCTGAGTTCATTTTTAAAATATTTCTCTATTTTAAAAACTATTAATCCACAACTTTGGGAAATAAATTTGTATATATGGTCTATATACGAACCCCAGTTATACTTAAGGGCTTACTACCCTCCCTGCCATTAAAATTACAAAGGGTCTTAGTTGCCTTGAGTAAGGAGCCCTGGTGGTACAACAGTTAAGCTGCTAACCAAAAGACTGGCAGTTCCAACCCACCCAGAGGCTCCATGGGAAAAAGATCTGGCGATCTGCTGCCATAAAGATTACAGCCTACGAAACCCTATGGGTAGTTCTACTCTGTCACCTGGGGTGGGTCACTATGAGTTGAAATCGACTCCAGGACACCTAAAAACAAGAGTTGCCTTGAGCAGGATTCTTTCCTTTTCTCTACAATGAAACGTTACTTATAATGTCCTGTAGATGTCTCCTAGCCCCTGCCAATAACCTGACTTTATAACAAAACTACTTGAGACCCCAAATAAACTCACATAAGGCCTCAAAGCCAGTACTGTCCCAAAGCTTCCTCCACTGTTAAGGGGAAGTAGCTGACCCTGAAACCCACAACAGAAACATTACCTGGGATCTGGTTGCCTTATGACCTGAGACCTTCCAAAACAGCTATCCAGAAAAAACCACCAACGCTACCTGGAGCCTTCCCCTCCCATCTCACCTTGCGCACCCCTCCTCCAAAAGAAATCCTTCTCCCCACCCCCAGAGTAGATACAATTAAGAGCCTGTTACCCAAACTGCATAGGACCTTATTTTGAACAGAACCTGGGTCCTGTTTATTTTACATTTTATTCCACTTTCTGTATTTTTTTAAACACCATCACACACACTGTCTCAGTTGGTAAAAAAGAGCAGGTATCAGTCAGTCCGATTTTATGGATAAGAAAATTGAGGCTCAATTTTCGAGGCCAACTCTTCGGACAGGGATTGGACTGGACTGTAGGACATAAAGTGATACTCGTGAGGAGTGTGTCTCTTAGCTCAAGTAGATACAAGAGACTAAACGGGCAGCTTCTGTCCGGAGGTGAGATGGGAAGGCAGAGAGGGTTAGGAGCTGGTTGAATGGACATGGGTTATCAGGGGTGGAAAGCAGGAGGGTGCTGTCGCAATATGGGGAGAGTAATTAGGGTCATATAACAATGTATGTATAAATTTTTGTATGGGAGACTAACTTGAAGTGTAAACTTCATTTAAACTACAACAATTAAAAAAAGAAAAAGAAAATTGAGGCTCAGACACTTGTCCAAAGCCACATTTGCCAGTAAGAGGATTCTAGTTAGAAAATACAGTGAAAAAAATTATTTACCATGTCAAAGGCACAATACAATAAAAATGTTAACAAAGAAATATGCAATACCTATAAGAAAAATCAGGAAGAACATAAAAATTACTGAAGAACATAAAAAATAAAAATGAAAGAGCCTTGTTTCTGGATATAAACATATAAGTCAATTCTTCCCAAATTCACCCTCAAAGGGATATTTTTTGCAACCTGACAAAATCACTGTAAATTTCACATAAATAATGACAATAGCTATCACTTACTGTATGCACTAAACAATTTACATACATTATTTCATTCAACCTCACCCAATCCAGCAAAGTAGGCACTATCTCCTTCTAACAGAATAGGAACCTGAGGCTCAGAGAACTGAAGCTTCGTCTAAGGTCAGAGAGGTGGCAAAGAGCAGAGACGGGATTCAGATCCAGGCTGTCCACATCACTCACTACCATAATGGATATCAGTAGTTAAGAAAGTGTCAAAAAATGATAATAAGGGAAGATTTACATTGCCATTAAAGTTACAAAAATTAAAACAATGTGGCTCTGGCACAAGAATGTACTTTTAAATGACAATGAAATCTTACAAAAATACACATAATCGTTTCTTGTATGATAAAAAAATAGAACCTCAAATCAGTGGGAAAGGAATGAATATTCAATTAAGGATATTGTAAAAATAATACTGTAAAAACAGTTAATTGCTTAGGGGAAAAAATAAGATTTTTATCACTCACTATATATTAAAATAAATTCTAAACTGATTAAACAGTAAAGCATATAAACAGAAAAAAAGAAAGAATTATAAGAAAATAGAACTGAGTCTTCACACATATATACATACACACATAGATACAGAGAGTGAGAGGAAGACAGAGCACACACATGCAAAGGCTCAAGTGAGGTTCATATTTTAAAAGTCTGGCAACCAATATTAATTAAATTATGATTCTGGTTTTTCCTATTTATTATTATGCCATAATAATAGCATATTCTTTAAGAACACTGCCAAAGTTACACTGAGGAAAAATATTGAAGAATATGGGAATGTGCTAATAACATATTAAGAGGGAAAAGGCTTTCAAAAGGGTATACAGAGTATAATTCATTCAATTTTACTTAAACTTTCAGACACATGCATTAGAAAAAGCTGGAAAAGACTACCCAAAATGCTGACAGTGATACTCTCATCTGGGTGATAAGACACAGATGATTTCTACCTTCAGTGAGCTTGTCTTCATTTTTCAAATTTTGTATAATCGCCTTTCATAAGCAATAATGTTTTTAAAGAAATAAAAATAAACCTGTTGCCATCAAGTCAATTCTGACTCATAGCGACCCTATAGGACAGAGAAGAACCACTCCAAAGAGTTTCCAAGGAGGGCCTGGTGGATTCGAACTGCCGACCCCTTTGTTAGCAGCTATAGCACTTAACCACTACACCACCAGAGTTTCCAAAGAAAAAAATAAATACTAAATAAATTCAATATCTAAACCGAAAAGTAATGGTTTGGGTGAACACTTAATGTGTTAATAAGAACGGTTTTGTTCAAGTTATATTAAAGCTCAAAAAGCCCACAGAATTGAGAAACCTGGAATTACAGTACATTTGAGCGCTATACGTACTCATTCAAAAACCTTACTGACCACTTCTGAGATGGCAGGCACAGGGCTGGGTTCTAGAAATTTGTGAATAATAATCAGCTCTGCCCCCTCAGCAGAAGGTCATCCAATCACAACGTTTCTCTTACCCCTAAGGTCAGGGACAGATCTCGTACTACCTGCCAGCACCTAAGTCTTTTTTGCTCCTTAGAACAGTGATCACCAAACATTCTGATCACATTCTGTATTAGTAAAAAATAATTTTTAAAAATAACGTATTCTCAATAAAAGTATATTTATTTCTTGTTTAAAACAGGTACTGGTGTTGATTTGTACGAGTATTAATAAAGCTTAGTTTCTTTTCATTTTTATAGAAAATAAGTATAAGTACTGATTTTTTTTCTCATGCTAACAGATCATCCTGTGCATAACAATACCTGTTGTATAATTCCAATGATTCAGAATTTTTCCTCCTTCCCTGTTATCCTGGTTGTCTCTTCTTAGTAATTTCTGCCATATTCCCTAAGAACTCTTGAATACCATCAATAAATTAGAGGATAAAGTTTCTGCCCTTAAAGGCTTTCAGCTACTCAAGCAAAGACACTATCTCAAAAATCTCAAAACTGGTGAAGGCCTTGAGGAAGATAAAAAGAAAAAAAAATTCTACCCAATCCTCCTTAACAGTACCTGAAGAGTCACTTAGAACAAATTAGGGTTCTCAAATGAAATTTCAGATCTTGGGATGCTTCCCAATAACTCCATGCGGAACTACCATTTAAACTACCTGCCTATTGTTCTCTACCTGCCTATTGTTCTGCTGCTCAGCAAGGTCTAGTGCTTGGGCTTCCAGGCCCTACTCTTTTTTTTTTAAAATACTATTTTATTGAGTTTTTGTGAAAGTTTACATAGCAAGTTAGGTTCCCATTTGACAATTTCCACACAAACTGTTCACTAATGTCACTACATTAGTTACATTTATCACAACGTGTTCACATTCTCTGTGTTCAGTTTGTTCCATTTTCAGTACTCTAGTTTCCCTGCTCCCTTATCTTCTCATCTTTGCTTTTGAGTAACTGTTGACCTTTAAGTCTCATACTGACAGTTTTTAAGTAGAACACTGATCTTCCAGGTAATATCCTTTACTTTGTGTGCCAATCTGCTATTTCTCTGAAAGGTGATCTCAGGAGATAGGCTCAGAGTATCTCAGGGCAACACTCAGGGAGTCCTCTGTTCTCTACTGTTCTAGTTTGTCTGGCTTTTCATTTTTTAAATAAGAATTTGAGTTGTGCTCCATATTTTTCTCCCATTCTATCTGGGACCAACTATTGTGACCCTGACCAGAACTGTCACTGGTGGTTGCCAGACACCATCTAGTTATTCTGGTTTCAGGGTAGATGAGGTTATGGCTCGTGTAGACTTGTTTCTTCTCTGTGCTTTTGGTTACCTTCTTACCGTTTCACTCCAGGCGAGCAGAGACCCATTGTTGTGTCTTAGATGACCACTCGCAAGCTTTTAAGACCCCAGACAGTACTCACTTTACTAGGAGGCAGATCACGATTTTTTGTGAACTATGTTATGCCAGTGACTGAGCTGTTCCATTAGACTGTGGTCCTAAGCCTTTAAACTCAGAAAACCAATGTTGGAAGGTGTTTGGTTATGTCTGAGGAGTACCCATATTTGTGTCTTCAATGAACATATGTGCCTACACCCACATATTTGTATTTACATGAATCTATAGATATTTCTATCTGTTCTCACCTATGTATACACCTGTACCTACCCATATACCAATTTGCCTATACCCATGCATGTGTGTTCAAACACTCATTTTTACTCTGGTTGTGCTGTGCACACTACATCACTTTTGGTGCAGGGCCCCACTCTGAAGCAAGGATGTGTACTTCCCTACTCAGCTGGCCTCTTCTCCCCAGAGCACTATTCATAGATTGAAAGGATTATAAAAGCAACTCCTTGACCCAATCAGTCCACAAGAGTCGCATTCCTCCAAAGGTAAAAACCTTTCAAAAAGTTTCAGAAAACCAAGGGGCTTCAGTGAAGCAAGTCTAGAGAAAATAAATAGAAATGAAAAAGGGAAAGGGGCATTCTCTCGACAAAACAAAAAAAAGCTTCTTGAGCAGTATACTCTAGAAGAGGATGTGCATATAGATAGGCCCTACATTTCTTTCATGTATTATTTGTATTGCTGACAATATTAAATCAAGTCTCTAATAATTTAAATGAAGAGTTTAAAATCAATCCACCCTATTCGATAACACAAAATGTAAACGCCTCACCTTTTATTAATAGCACTAACCTCTTCAAAGAGAAAATATATGAGGTTTACTATTTTTAGTCACTTGTGACATTTTTAATTGAGCTTGCAAAGGAGGGAGAAAGTACTCTTCTCAATACATTCAATCACACTTTTTCTCCTACGTGTGAAAAATCTACCAAGCAATGTAACAGACACAAATTCCTCTTCTCTTCCTTCACAGAAACTCGGGTCATGTTCATCTTGAAAGGTGTTTTTCTAAATCTTCTTAATACTCACTTGGCAAAAGCATTTCTTCTATTAATCTCTTTTTGGGAAGAAGCGGAAGTTGTACTGAAACTTCTCCTAAAACCTAAACATGAAAGTTAATATTAGAAGAAGAAAAATGAACCACAAATTTGCAGTCACTATTACGTGTTACTTTTGTCATTTTTTTCTGAAGATGTTCTATTGTATCAAATGTTTCTTCAAAAATAGAAAGCAAAGAAGGTAAGTATATATGCAGAATATAATTGCAGTTTAGATTGCTTGACAAATTTTTACCTAAAATCTAAACGACTCTACCTTTTTCATCAAACTATACACATAAATGAATAAGTTAAGATCACAGTATTACTTTTGGAGGTTTTATTATAAGATTTCTTGAAAATCAAGTAAAACTGAATTACACATTGATAAAGCTGACTCTCTTTACAACTGAATATTCTGATAAATCATATAAAAATGGTTTTTAAAAAACAATCAGTTTTTTAAACATTAAACAAACTTCAGAAATAATGACTGTTGTCATTTCCCAAAAACAGAATTAAAAAAAAAAGACAAGACTTCACAAAAGTTAAATTTTTTTAAATATACTTTTTAAAAGGGAATGGGATTTCTATTTTTGGCAGTTATGGCAGACCAGATGAATCTCTGATTGAAGCAACTATAATTAAAAAGAAAAAAAAAAACCCACTTTTGAGCTGGCACAAAAGGTACAATTCTGAAGAGGCGAAAAACCAGAAAGAGAACCCATGAGAGGTAACCAAGCACCAAAGCAATCTACCATCCTGTACCTCAGGAGAGTGCTACAGAGGAGAGAGGAAAGGGAAAGAAAGCCTGGGGACTGCCTATGTGGGGATGCTAAAAAAAGACTCCTGGTTAAAGTTAAGATCCCAAGCACTCACTCTCAGTGCAAGGTAAAAGGAAACAGCATGAAATGTCATTCAGATGAAGACAGTAAGGAAAGTAGCTTGTGTCAACTTTGGTGTTCAGTAAAAAGAAAAAGCTTCTCCCTTCAAAATTCATGATCATAGCCAAATTTATGTTACCTGTATAATGTAAAAAACAAGACAAAAAATTGCAGAAAATAGAAATTAAAGTAGTCCCAGGTTGGCAGTGGCTCCAGGCAAATCGCAGAAATAAATATAATTTTCTCTGGAGGTATCTATCCAGGCCTCAGAGAATTCCTATACATAAAATTTTGAGGAAAATATGCATTTTATAGTACCAAATACAAAGCTCTCAAGGAAAGAAGGCACCATAAATTAAGCTCAGCAGTAACAGATGGCAGAATTAAGACTCACAAACATTTCAGATATTAAAATATTAAATAAAAAACAAATTTAAAGACATAAAAGAAAAACTTGAAAATATGGGGAAAGAACAAGACACTAAGTAACAAGAGGCAACATGGCGCTATAGACAGAAGCACCCATACCGTCTCTCCGCAGCAAAGATGTGAAAAACTAAGTAAACCAGAGACAAACGTCAGTCCTGAAACCCTTAGCATCAAATGAAGAGGTAAAGAACTCAGCCAAGAACTGAACTGAATAAGAAACTAACAGAACAGAGAGCTAGAAGAGATACATGCAGAGGTCCCCTATCAGCTAACCCAGCACTGATCTGCCATCTTGGACTCCTACTGGAGACAGGCGAACGGGGGGTAGAGGAAAGCAGCTTCACGGAGCTCTTAGCAGGAGACAGAACAACCAGTGACCAGCGAGATATGCTTTCCCACCCCTCACCCTTCTTCACCCCCACTCAGCCTCCTATGCTACATGCAGCCACAGTCTCTTGGCCAGGAAGCACGAGCTTCACCCCTGTGCCACTTGGATTCCACCTGCCTGCACTGGCCGACTCCCAGAATGCCATTTGTTGGCTACTGGTGTTGCTTTTTTCTGCTTCTTTTGATTTCTTCCATACCTATCACCACCTCCCCCTCCTTTCTCTCAGATAACTTGCTCCATGTGCCATCTTTGCTTCTTCCAGAAAGGCTGTGACATACCACTAGACTGTGGAACTGCTTCCCAGCCCGTGCTACCATGCTGGTGGGATCCCCAGAGCTTTTCTTTCTTCGTTTCTTTTGATTTGTTCTGTTTTAATTTGTTTTCTTTTTCTTTTCTCAGCTTGGGAGACCCTTCTAGCTGGGCAGTACTACAAGGCTTAGAAACAACTCCCTCGGTCTGTGCAGACAAGCAGTGGGATCCCTGGGAGCTTTTCTTTTTTCTTGTTTTTTTTTTTGTTTGTTTGTTTCTTTTCTCTCTTTTTCTCTTTTTGTCTTTCTTCATTTCTTGGTTTCTCCTCTCTCTATAGTTGCCTTCACTTCTGGTCTCCTGAATACCTGGTGCTGTGTGACACCCCTACTCCTTGTAGCCAGGCTGTACTTCATGTCCTGAGAGCAACTTCCCCAGTGCTCACAGCTGCACCAGTGCGATCTTTGGGGGCTTCTTTTCCCCTAATTTTTATTTATTCATTTTTTTTACCCTTTTTCTTTTTTTTCCCCGTTTTGTTTTCCTCCATTTCTCAGTTTCTCATCTCTCCACTCCAATGGCAAGCTCCCTTAGCACACTTTTTTGTTTGGTTGTATGTTTTTGGTGCCTGTTCCGCTTTCCTCTCTCTCCTCTTTCCCATACCCATCTTAGCTCCACACATCACAATCTCCCCCCTCCTTCCTGCCTACCTGCAGTGTGCACTGAACTTCACATTCCCAACCAGTACAGGCATGGCCTACTGGAACCTGCCCTGTTGGTCCTACTACATGCCACAACCAACCCATCCCAGTAACTCCCTTTCATCTGGACCTGCCCTGCTGTACCATACCTCAGCGACTGACCTGCCCATTGGAGGAGGTGAAAAGCATCGTGCCCACAGATGAGTAAACAACAAAGAACGCACAGCCTGCCTGCTCAGACAAAACCAAATAAAAGAAAAAAGCAGGATGAAACAAGAAAATCTACAATCAATAAATGAGAAAAATAACTACTGAATGCCCCGAAGACAGCAGACAATATCAAAAAATATACAAAAAGAGGACAGGATGGTTCCAGTAGTAGGCGTTCAAAATAAAACACCAGATGACTTTCCAGTAGAAGAAAAGGCACTAGAACTACCTCAAAGGGGATTCAAATCTCTAATATTCAGAGATATCCAAGAGTTGAAGCAAAAAGGAGACAAAAATGAGGAAAAAAAAATTCATGAAAAAGGCAGACAAATTCATGGAAAATACAGACAAAAAAGATGGAAGAATTCAGCAAACTAATATAGGAACAAAAAGCTAAAATAAATTCACAACTAGAAATCATGCAAAAACAACAATTAGAAATCCAAAACATAAACAACAAGATTTCAGAAAGGGACAGTGTCATAGAAGGTCTGAGGAGCAGGTTTAAAACAATGGAAGACAGGGTCAGCAAAATTGAAGACAAACACTTGGATACAACTCTGAGGAAATATCAGAAAAAACAACAAAGAAAAATGAAGAAACCCTGAGAATTATGTGGGATACAATCAAAAGCAAAAATTTGAGAGTGACTGGAGTTCCAGAAGAGGTGGAGAAGACAGAAAACACAGAGAGGATCACTGAAGAACTGCTGACAGAAAACTTCCCCAATATCATAAAAGATGAAAAACTGACCACCCAAGAAGCTGAATGAACACCATCTAGGATAGACCCCCAAAAGAAAATCACCAAGGCATATCACAATCACACTCGCAAAAACCAAAGACAAACAAAAATTCCTGAGAGCAACTCAAGAAAAACAAAAAGTCCCACACAGACAAGAAAGAATAAGTGCGGATTATTTGGCAGAAACCATGCAGGCAAGAAGACAATGGGATGACATATACAAAACCTTGAAAGAAAAAAATTGCCAGCCAAGAATAATATATCCTGCAAAACTCTCATTCAGATATGATTGTGAAATTAGGACATTTCCAGATAAACAGAAATTAAGGGACTATGTAAAAACCAAACCAAACTTACAAGAATTATTAAAGGGAATCCTTCAATCTGAGAACAAACAACATCAGACCACAGGCTGAATCCAGGATGCACGATCATACCAGCCAGATACCAACCTAGGAAATGAACTCTCAAGGACTATCCAAAACCAAAAGAATTACAACAGGGAATGAGAGAGGTTAATCTGTAAATGACAACATCAGAACAATAAAAGGGGGAATAAACGGTGTAGGTATAGAACCTTCTAATTGAGAGGAAGGATAGGAGATACCAAGTCATAATAGGCTGGTTCAAATCTAGGAAGATAAGGGTAAATTTCAAGATAACCACAAAGAAAGTTAACAAACCTACTCATCAAAATAAAGAAGAAAAATATAAAGTCTCAGTAAAAACAAAACCTACAAAAACAAAATAAATGAAAAACAAAACCACAAACAAAAGGAATTTAGCACAGGAGAGTAAGAGGAACAAAGAGAATGTGAGCACCACAAAAAAAAAGCACTACAAAATGACAGCAATAAACTCACACCTATCAGTAATTACTCTGAATGTAAACGGCCTAAATGCACCCATAAAGAGATGAAGAGTGACAGGATGGATAAAAAAACAGGATTCATCAATATGCTGTCCACAAGAGACACAACTTAGAAACAAAGACGTAAATTTATTAAAATTCAAAGGATGGAAAAAAAAATATCAAGCAAACAGCTACCAAAAAAGAGCAGTAGTGGCAATATTAATCTCAGATAAAATAGACTTTAAAACAAAACCCACCATAAAAGACAAAGAAAGACACTATATAATGATTAAGGGGACGATCCATCATGAAGATAACCATAGTAAACATCTACGCACCCAATGACGGGGCTCCAAAATACATAAAACAAACTCTAACAGCACTGAAAAGAGAAA